TCACAGTGTAGTTTGAACGTTAATTCTTCTGAGAATCAAGGCAATCTCTCAGTTTTATGTAAACTAAAAAGCAAAATTATGATCTTCCAATATAAAATGGCACAGAACATACATTACAATTCAAAAATAGAGGAAAGAGATAGTGAAGAAATATGGGAACAAAGCAAGACTGAAAACAGGAAGGGAAAACTTCAAATCCTGTAACTCCGTGTCTGATGTCGAAAGGCTCAGGTGGCTCTGTCCTTGTAGCTTTGCTGACTATGCCATACTTTTCTCTGTGTTGGGCTGGTTCCAGTCCCTGTACACAGTCTTCCTGGAAGATATACCACAGACTATCACCTCTAACGTTTAGGGGACTCCAACTCAATCCAGCCTTTGCTTTCACATTTTCACTCAATGACACCTCAGGTCTTCCATGAAGAAGTCATTGTTCATAGGCTTAGCCTCCGTAGCTTTCCTTTACAGGGGAGGAAGTTTCCACAATGCCTTTAGTTCTGTATCCTTCATTATTTTTGAACCAGAACCAAATTGCTGATGCTACCAAATTTGTCTACCTGATATTTGATCTACTCTTTTAATGAAATCTTAACAACCATTGAATTTATTGTTGCTCTTTAGGAATAGATAACTTTTGGTCTCTTTTCCTCACAAGATGTAGGATTGACTAGGTAGGTTCTTGCTCTGAAGATACCACTCCCTTTATTCTATTTCATTTTGGACCTATATTTTCTTTTTCAGCAAAAGCATTGGCTTAATTTCCTGGTGCTCTTTTATTCTCACAAAAGTGCACAGTTTTTTCTTAAATTTCTTTTTGCCATGCTTCCTTTTTTTCTTTGAGACCTGCTCAAAAGTGATTGCTAGTAACTATATGACAGACTCAACATTAGGCTCTCTTGAAATCTCCTCGGCCACTGACATTATTCCAAAACTCTTTGATTTTCCTCAAGCAGGTTCTTAGGACTAGTGCAAAAGCATCTACACCTTTTGCCAACATATCACAAGAATGGTTTCTAGCCCAGTTGCTAATACTGTTAACCTCTACAACCTCTTGATTTGACTCTCCATAGTCCCCTTTGCTCTCAATACTACTGTCTTCCAACTTCTTACTTAAACGGCCCATTAAGCCCGACTTACAGCATTTAACTGTTTTTTCTAGTCCAAAGTCTTCCACATGCCTCCAATTCACATCATGGACAGGCCTGTCATAGTAATCTCCCACTTTTGTCTCAGTTACTTTTCTATTCCTTTGATGAAACACCAAGGAAAGTTATGAAAGTGTTTAAGTTTGGGTTCGTATCTCCAGACGAGTGGTTAGAGTGCAGGACCATCATGGTAGGGAACACAGCAGCTGGCAGTTGGCATGGCACAGAAGTAATAGGTGAGACCATACATCCAGATCCATAAGCAGAAAGAGAGACAGGATACAGTTACCTTTGAAATCTCAAAGCCCACTTGAGTGACATGCTTCCTCTAAAAGACAAACCTATTCCAACAAGGATATTCATATGAAGTCTTCTTAAAACAGCTCCAACAACTGTGGACCAAGTACTCAAATATATGTGCCTATGAGGGCTCTTCTTATTCATATCCCCACAGATGTATTATTTTTCTCTTCAGTTTTTCTTTATCTCTCTCTTCCTTATGAGATGGAATCCAGGCCCTTAAACATGCTACATTTTTGTCCTATCTGTGAGCTACATTTCCACTCTGTAAACATTTTTTCTAACATTAAATGTCGTACTTGCTTCAAGTGTAAAATCTGTGGTTTGATATATATATTATCACAGTTTAAAAATTCAAGTCATATTCTGGGCCCTTAGGTATTTCTCAAAGAAAAGGAATGTATAACCTCATTGTCTTTTCTTTTTAGAAAACTGAAACTTACTGTATGTAAAAGGAGGATAGCTATATTGTAGCAGGGAGTAAGTAAGTTCTTTAAAACATTGTTAAACTCATGGGCTTTTGTTATGTAATAAAGAATACTGTTTGGATGGAAGAATGGGAGAATAAACTGTTATAACCACTTCATGGAACATTTAAAATTTCAATAACCACAATAAATAGCGTCATAGAAAATTTCATTTGTGAAAAAAGAGTAATCTCATTAAATTTCTAAAGTTCTACTTAATATAAGATACCTACCACATGGACACACAGTAATGTTTGGTAAATTGAAAAGAACAGACAGAAATAAAGGTGAAATAAACTGGGGGAATTAGTGCCTTTGTAATTTTATATTTACAATAATAATTTACATAAGAGTATCTTCAAAGGGGAAAGTATATGGAAAAGAAGCCAAGATGTTTTGTATCAATTCTATACTTTATAAACCGTGAATAGAAATGTTCTTATTGACTACTAAATACAGATAAATTCTTCCAAAAAAAGATCAAAAACAATGTTATCCTGAATGTCATCTGTTGACACCTCACTATGTTTTCCCCGTTTTCAGCATGAAACCTTTGTGTATGTGTATTTAAATCATGCCTGTATGCTAAACACAGTAGCAAATGTTTAGAATAAGACATATTTGGCAACATTATCCCCATAATGAAATATCTGCCACATGGACACACAGTAATGTTTGGAAAATTGAATAGAATTGACAGACATAAAGATGAAATAAACTGTGGAAATTAGTGCCTTTATGATTTCATTGGTCATAAAACCCAACATTAGAGATGGCAGCTATTACCTCAACTCTCTCATTGCTGATTTAATGTGAATATAATACCTTATGCTTTTCAATTTTGTCAAATAAAATAAAATAATGTAAAATAAAATAAAATAAAGTAAAATAAAATAAAAAAGGCTCGAAGTAAATTTCAGAAACAACTTGCTGGTTATCATATGCAAATTCTTATACTACCACCAGTTTTATCAGTTCCTATGATATTTGTTTCATGTATTATAGTGTAAAGATTTTTTTTAGTTAAATTGTCACTAAAGCTTTAGTCCAATATGTATTTTCTTTTCTACAAAATGTACACACATGATCAAAATGTTCTTTTAAATATAGAGGTTTTTTTTTTAATTAAGATTCTATCTTACCTCTCCAAACTACCTTTTGATTTCTTTCGTTGCTTTTAATCTCTGAAACCTGGAAGGGTGGTAGCGCTGCACACACACACACACACACACACACACACACACACACACACACACTTGCTCACACTTTTCTGTCTTGAATATAATTCTCTCGCTTTCTGATACCTTCCTCCCTTCCTCAGTTTATATCCTGTTGCCTAAGAGGACACTTTTAGATACTACTAGACATTATTTTGGAGAGGGACACAGAATAGAAATCACTTCTCTTTTGAGGTTTTCTGGAAGTTTCTAAGATTGTGTAGAAGTATTTTAAATTTTGTTTTCTTATAGGCCTTTCACATCATCATGCATATTTGTAAGGGACTCTGTCTCCTTGACTGTTAAATCTGTGCTACTTATACATAGGAAATATATGTAAAATGAAAAGGTGAATGCTTTTCAACTAGCATTGTGTTCTGACTTCATACATTATTAGGTTCAGTGATGTTCATTTCATTTGTGTGATAGGTACCCTTAATGGAAGGCAAGCCAGAGGCTCAGTGGGATGGCTCAGTGGATAAAGAGGTTTGCCATGTCTCGAAACCTGAGTTTGATCCCTGGAACTAACCAGTCCAGGTTGTCCTCTGACCTCCACCCATGGGTGCACCATGGCTTTCCTAAAAATAAAATAAATGTAATGTAAAATATTTTAAATTTAGGAGTTTACTATAGAAAGAAAAATAGAAATAATAAGAAATATTATGTATAAATAAATGACATTTGAAAATTATTAAAGATTGATTTGAGTATATTTTATCTGAACAGTTACATGATATTTTCATTGAAACCAGCAGGAAAAAGCTGACAAATCTGCACTGCCCAGTCATTAGGAATAAATTTACTTAGTAACTTTTTACGATTTCTTGCACTACCTTCAGCTCTCTTCTCAATACTTATTCACTACTTGTACTTAAACACACAGTGATAGGCAGGGTATGTATGTCAGCCATGTGGGTATTTTGTAATAGTACACGGCTTTACCATGTGTGATTAAATTCAGCTTAGATTGAAAAGAATGCCAAGTATTTGTGTTTCATGTCTCCATGAACTGAGGCTGCCCCGTGGAGCTGAAGAACACCCTCTTTTCACAGCTATGTTTTGATTGCGTTTATTCTTGTCTACCAAATGTTGAAATGTTCAAGGAGAATTGCTTGATTTCTGCTTTTCTTGGGGGAGTGGGGAGGAAAGGGTTGTCAAGATAGATATCTTCCAGAGGTGTAAAATTAGGATCTTTGCGAGACTTCTTATTGCAATCAAGTCAACTTTATTCACTGTTCTTAATGCTTCTTTTACTGATAGCACAATCAAGCCTACTATTTTCTAAAATACTGGACCAGCATCCAAAATACTAGTGATTGGGTTTTTATTAATATAACTGTTCTTCAGGATTGTTTTAAGAGTTGTGTGTGTGTGTGTGTGTGTGTGTTGGTTTTTAACTCTTCTTGATAAAAGTGCAACTGCCAGAAAAAATTAATACCTTTAAAAGAAGTTTATGGTCAAGAAGTACGTAATGCCAAAATAATGGAAATTATTCAGCCACCTAGATGAAATTGCTATATTGGTTTTATATTTCCAAGATCAAATTAATGAATCCTTTCCTCCATAGTGTAAAATGTATTTGCCAGGGCAAATATCAGAGCCATCCCTTAATCATTAAATTGGGTAAGGGAGCTCACTGGCTCTCAAACTGTTAAATGGATCTTAGGGCTTATAATGAATGGAACAGTTATCTTTGTGCCAGCTTAACTAACAACATTGACATGATTAGCATACATTTTGGCAACTGTTCTAGCACAGGGTCTCGGGAAAAAGAAGCTTTTATGTCTAAGCTTAGTTTACTTTAGCTTTCTCTGCTATGTCTGCTTCTACTGTGAACGAAATAATAAGCAAAGGAATTCCTACAACAAAATTATTTATAAACACATAGTTTTATTAAGGTCCTTGATATTTCTCATTCAAGAAATGAAGTTCAATACCCATCCCCCCAAACACATGAACCATATTCAAATTGTGAAATGAATAGGATGTTTTTCTCTTTTTATAATGACACTAAAAGTCATGAAGCTTGTGGAGGACTTATTTTCTTTATTAATGTTGCTACATGTCTTTTACGTAGCTTCTCCTTTTATAAAAGAAACTAAGCAAAAGATGACTGGAAAAGAATGTGTTCCTTCTTTGTTATGTTAGGGTTGTGAATGAACAGTTTATGGCCTTAAATGGTCTTATATGTCTCTTAGTTCAAGTGCCTATCATACAAAAGGAACTTTCATAAAAATATATTGAACTTTGTTGTCTTAGATTCTGCTACCTTATATTCTTATTTATCCAGATGACTCAAATGAAGAAAACAAGACTAAGTAATTAATATAAGTCTAAAATGTCCTGTGTTTATGTTTAAGCTTTGCTTTTATGGTGTGCTATTACTTTAAAATATTGCAAATTAGTGCAACACAACAAGCACAGAGGTTGCTGGAATGTGAGGGGACACTTATAGTAATATTAAATCCGTAATTAGTTAATGTGACTATAGACATGCATGAGTGCAAGTTTTCATAGGAACATGAATGTACAAGCAGTTTCTTTTCTATATATGTCTACAGTTTACACACTCTTAATTAGGCCATGGATTAGTTTAATATAAACTTTAGCATAGCAGAATACTACCATTCCTCACATTTAATCCTAGAAACAAACAGACCCCAATAACAGGCACTTCAGTGAAAGAACAAACCCATGGTCAAATATAAAATGGTAAAAATAATCAAGAAAATATGAAAATATATACTTTTAATTTGCAGACATATAAACAATTTTGGTATGGTACAGACACATGAGGGTGATAAGCAAAGTGACTCGTTTTGAAGCTAACACATTTCTTGTTTATACAGACAGCTTCACTACAGTTCTTACATAAAATAAAATTTTCATCTCATGCAAAGAAGGAAGCACTAGAAATCACTGACAAACCAGTTTTCTTCATTGCAAAAGAGCCGGTAAAAACTAAATCATCAAAAGAATCTGCAGATGGGCTTACAAGTCAAACTTTGGATGTATTCCAGAACCAAATAAAGAAGCCAGAACACTAGCCAATGGTCCAAAACAACTACAAAAAGTTTAACTTTCATATAAAATGCCGATATTGTACAGTAGCCTTTTGAGGAATTCAATTTGAATACAACGTTTTCTCATAGTGTAGGTGAACAAAAGTGTACCCAAGCTAACACAAAACCCACGGAAAAAGTGCTGCTGACCAGTGGAGAATGCACTAAGATATCAGAAACACCAAGCAAGCAAGTAGAGATTGAGACACTGACATGTGTCTTGCTCTTTTACTGAGTGCAACATCTAGATGCTTTTTATGTTAGGAAGAATACACAGATGATGCCTTCCCCCTGTAATTCTAGCAAGCACAGTGGTAAAGCAAACAGAAAGCAGGTGGAGTTACACAAAACATCACACTCTTCAGCAGGTCAAATTTGTAACACATGGTAATGTTTTGATGCTTGTCCTAAATGAATTGCACTTCTTTTTAAATGCCTTCTCTTTCAAATTATAATCGATGTACCTACAAGGTAATAGATGTTCTGTTTATAAGTGGATTTCTTTTCTTTCTCGTCATATATTTAAGTAGAGAATTTAATTTACCTTAATTTTACATTTAATGTTAAAAACAATATATTTAAAATATACTCTCTCCTTAATTTCCTGTACAACAACTATCATGTACAATGCCACAGTTCCCTGCAAAGGAGAAGCTGGTGCCCTCTCGTGGTGAAAAGACATTTTAGAAACAACAAAAATGTACTTTTCTTACCTTAGTCTTGAGTTTTGCCAGCCATCTGCTTGGTGTATTAGAGCTGCCAGTTATATCCAACATTTTATATATGTATATGTATTTTTATATATAAATAACAATAATATAGCTGTTAGTACTAATTTTCATTTAAAAATTCTGTACACATTTTATAACTTCTGAATTGGAATTAAAAACCTGTAAACAGCTATTCACAATATAGTACAAATTATAAATTATTTGTCCTTTAGTGGAACTGAATCAGCACACTGTTGTTTGCAGGACAAAGACTACCTGTGGCAGTTATAACATCCCTCCATGTCATTCCACAATGGCATATCAAATGTTAGAAATATCCATTGGTTTTCTCTCTCTCATACACAAGTCAATTTTTCCTTTCAATGGAATCTGTACTTCCAAATTGTCATCTTCCCTGTGTTGTTTTTTACCTTTCCGTAAGCAGATGTATATCCCCATCCCCGTAACTAGTGTGATGGAACCTAAGCTTATGACAGACAGAGCTACCAATGTGGGCATACAGGAGATAGATTCTACCTTCCTATGAGTAGGCTCTATTGAGATTTGTGGCTCTTTCTCTTCTATATTAATTTCTGGCTCCTTTCTTAAAAGGCTCTCAATGTAGCTCTCGTTACTGACAGTGTCATTGACAAATAAGTTCACCATGACCGTGGAATGGAGAGGTTCAGGGTATCCGTGATCACTCACTTTCACCAGTAAGCGATGCAAGCCATAATCTGTCTGTAGCAAGGCTTCCTCCAGAGTGATGTTGCCAGTCTTGGGGTCAATTCTGAAGGACTCGGGTCTGGGACCTCTTCTTCCTATGATGCTATAAGCTATGACGGCATTCATGCCTGTGTCTTTATCAACTGCATAGACCTCTGTCACTGGTGAGCCAGGGAGAGTGGAAGGTAGGACCAGCAAATAAGACATATTAGATTGAGGAAATAAAACAAGAGGGGGGTTATCATTGATGTCCAGAAGGAGAATTGTGATTTTTGTGGTAGAGGAAAGTGCAGGCTCGCCCCCATCAACAGCCTCCACCCACAGAGTGTAAGAGCTTTGCTGCTCTCTGTCTAAAGAGACTTTAGCTCTCAACATACCCTTGCCTGTATCTATGACAAAAATGTCACTCTGGTTCATTACTGAGAGGGCTACCCATCCATTCCTCCCAGCATCGGCATCTGTTACACTAATGACTCCAATTTCGCCATATCCCGGAAAGTTTTCTGGCACAAAAAAGCTAAAGTCCTTGTTGATGAACCTTGGACTGTTGTCATTTTTATCCAACACAGTGAGAGCCACTGTAGCCACTGATTCTCTGGGTGGCTTCCCACAGTCCACTGCTCGGACGGTGTACCTGTACTTTTCTTTCTCTTCTCTGTCCAGCTGAGTAGACACTGTCAGAATCCCAGTGACACTGTCTAAGTTGAAATATGATGGAGCATCTGGTCCCAAGAAGTAGGAAACTCGGCCCATCTCCCCACTGTCCGCATCTGTAGCATGGAGCTTCGTCAGAAAGGCATTGGGTGCATTGTTTTCTTCAATGGTCAGTTCTATTAAGGGCTGAAGGAAAACAGGGGCATTGTCATTATCATCTAAAAGTTGTACTTTAATGATTCTCTTGACATGAAACCCCTCTGAGTTCCAGGCCACTACAGCTATTTCATAGAACGGCTGCTGCTCATAGTCCATGGGTTTTGTGGTCTCCAACAAATATTCATTGTTGTACGGCTTGTAGGGGGCTAGCCTGAATGGCCCTTCACCATCCAAGTAGCAGTTAATCTTGTATTTACCTTCTGGATCTCTGATGGTGAAAAATGCAATTGGAGTATTAACAGGCTCCAGTTCTTTCAGGTACACAACGCCATCCACCTCATTGGCGATATACCGTGGGAGAATTTCGGGGGGTCTGAAAACGACTTTGATGATCGACACAAGAGCAGTTATCACTGCAGGGATACAGCCAGGTCCATTAGCCAGGATAGTGAGTTTATGTGTCTGTAGAACACTCCCACCAATCTTACTGGAAAGCTTAACGACTCCAGTATCTTCATCCAGATGGAATAAATCCTTCGATTCTTGTGGAACTTTCTGGCTGTAACTGTAAGTGATCTGTGCATTTGTCCCCAAGTCTCTATCCACAGCCTGGACTGTTGCAACAGGGGTGCCCACTGTAGCATTTCCATAAACGGTGACATTAATTTGTGAATCGATAAAGAGAGGACAATTGTCATTAATGTCACTTATGCCAATGGTGAGGGTAGCACTGCCCAGCAGTGGTGGGGACCCACCATCTTCAGCTATAATGATGCTCACATACTGATCCTGGGTTTCTCTGTCCAAAGCACCCATGACAATCAAGTAGGGTGTGCGCTCCCCGTTCTCATTCTCCTCCACGTCCAGGGTAAACATGCCATGGTAGTCCAGTAAGCGATAGGTTTGCACACCATTAATGCCTACATCAGGGTCCACAGCTGGATGCTCTATCGCCAATCGGGTATTTACAGGTGAATTTTCCGGGACCCAAACAGAGATTTCAGAAATGGGGAACTGTGGTGCATTGTCATTGATATCCCTGATGGCAATTTTCACCTTCACAAACCTAAAATATTCCTGAGGCAGGACCAGCACATCCAGAAGCAAAAGGCAAGAGTCAGAAGAAGGAGAGGAGGCAATGGAGGTACTGCCGCCCCAGGCAGCCCCTCCGCCCCCATCCAGGCACAAAGCTTCTCTGTCGATCTCCTGTGCAGAAGTGTGCAGCTCCCCGGAGCGGTTGTCTAGGGTCACATACTGGCCACTCAGTCCTCCAGAGGCCAAGCTGAAAGAGAGAGGGGGGTTCCCCTCAGCGGCAGTGCGCTCTGGATGCAGCAACTGCTGACTCTGTCTCCCAGAGGCCCTAGGCAGCAGCCTCAGGTCCTCCGCCAGGCTGCCTATGAGCACTCCCGCGGGCAGTCCCTCGTTTAGGCTGTACAGAAGCTCGGTAGCACGGCTGTAACTCGCGAGGCAATTGAAGGGTCCCACGAAGAGGAAAAGCAGAAAAACATGCTGGAGTGAAGGAAGGGGAAAACGGTGATTACACACTCCAGGAAGCAGAGATGAGAGTTAGGAAGTAGTGACACCCCTGCCGCCAGGACAATGCTAACTCTCATCCCTACTACCACAAACAAAAACCCTAATCTGAACTGTCCGAAGTAGAAACTTGCTGCCAGAGGGGAAGATCTGTGGGAGAGAGCTTTCTCTGAAACTTAACTCCTTTCTCTTCATCTTCTATTCCGCATCCTTCCCCCCACCCCAGACCTATTACAGCTCCCCGCACGCACCATCTGGTAACTACCTTCTCTAGTTAAGGTTTAGAATCTCAAACTTTAAGGCTTTGGATCTCTGAAAACACAGAGCAGGGCATACTTTGACTCAAATGGCTGGCTGCGCAACGCGACAGGAAAACCTCCATAGGTTATGGAGAAGAAAGGGAGGGGAAGGTGACGAAAAGGACTGAACGGTGCACGATTTACTGCTCATTGAAATGATTCTGCCATTAAAGTCCCAGAACATTTAATATGTTACACCCGTTTTCTACTAGGCCAATAAAGAACAGCAGCATCAGTAGCAACAACAACAACAACAACAACAACAACATGGAAAATTGAGCCATACTTCCTACCTGCTTTTAGGGAAGAAAGAGATTTTTCATTTTAATTCGTACATGAAATCAAATAAGGTGATCCGGGCCTCTACCTCTTATTCTGCCCTCTACCTCCTGCCAAGCTGACAAGCCAGCAAAGTAAACGCGAAAAATTATTATGCAAAAGCATTTGTCAGTTGCAGTAGACAGAGAATTCCAAGCTGACATTGAACACAGGAATCAATCTTTACAGCCTCGAATATAAAGCGAATTGAGCACATCCTCGACCCTCCACCTCATACAACATTTCTGTTTCAGAAACTTCCCCTACGGACCTGAGGGACCAAGCTATTTGTTTAAAATACCTTGTGCTCTGTATCCCAAACTCCTTTCCCTCCCCCTATCCTCTCGTGAAGTTTGCATTCTTGGAAAACGTTTGAAAATACCATCAAGGAGTAAAAACAGCTGGAGAGTATTCCAACTTCTGGAGGACCCAGGGTTCGCGCATCCTTACCGGCAGGTTCCTGTGGCTGGTCCTTCTGCTGGGACGATGTAGATGCCCCATATCCAGGCACGGGTGCCAGGTCGCCGGGCGCAAGCTCACTGCCTGGACCAGCGAGCTGCGCGCGTTCCCTCGGCCGCCGCGCATTCCCTGGGAGGCTGCAGTCAGAGCGCTCCAGAAGGGAGGGAGGCAGAGGACACTCCCTCTCTGTTCATGCAAATCGCTGGGGAACTTCAGCCAATAGTCACTGGTCTGTCAATTAAGAACAGAAACTCGATGGACTGAAAAGCCCAGGGCCAGAAGGGGACATTTACAGTGTCCTCTCCTGGACATGCTATGCCCACAGCCCACCAAAAGAGTCGGAATAAGGACCCGCTCTTCACAGCTGGGAGGAGATGCCACCGGGTCTGGGACCAGAGCGCGTGACAACTAGCCTTGACTAGCCTCGTTCCTTACTGCACCACTTAAATCCCAAGTCTACAAGTTGTTAGCAAGAAACAGAGATTTAATATAAATAAAAAAGCCAACATTGGTGTCTGAATGCACAGGCATGTTCCCACAAGACCCTGCTTTGCCAACCAGTTCCTCCCTGTCAGTGTGGATCCAGCAGTTCATTGCATAGAGCAAGAAAGCACACTTTTCTCAAATAAGAGCAGGTTCAACTTCTTGGTGCCAAAGATGCAAGCCAGAAAAGCAAAGCTATGAAATCCGTGGAGGTTCCTCATGTCTTCATTTTAATCTTCGCTGTTGGTGATGGCAAAGCTGATAGTTTCCGGGACACAAGTTTTTCTCGGTTTCTGCCTTGAGGTTTGATTTTAAAGGTAGCTCCAGTTTCTAGCTGAAAGCCAGTTTCTACCTGAAAGACTAGAGGAACGTAGTGTGAGCGTGTATGTGCATGTGTGTGCGTGTGTGTGTGCGTGTGCATGCGCATGTGTGCCTGTGTGTGTGTCTATGTGTCTGTCTGTGTGTCTGTGTATTTGTATATCACAAGTAATACCAGCCATCATTCTAGAAGGGGGACACTGAAAGGGGAGAGGGGAGTCACTGAAAAGCTTAAATAAAATAGGGGTATCTTTTCAAACGTTCTCATTTCTCTCTTCACTCTGCTCTTCTAAATGTCTACTGGGGATATGCCCCTTTGCAAGCATGTCCTGGAGCTGTCCAGGTCCAGCATACAAAATGCTTTGCTATCTTTTCTGACTCATCCTCAACAGTTTGTGACCTGTAATCTTTTATGAAATCAGCTGGTGGGAGAGTCCAGTACATTCAGTCGGTGAAACTGCCTGATCTACAGGGTTTCATATAAATAATGGCCAAAGGCATTCATCTTCTATCCAAGGCTATATATATTCCCTACATTGGGCTTCCAAATTTCCCCCTAACTGCCCTAAACATAAAGACTTGTTGGCCGAGTGACTAACAACTGAGCTAAGACCAGAAAAAAAAAAAAAAATCTCTGCCTCTGGCATCAGAATTGGCAATTCTCTGTGCTTTCCAAAGGAGAGCTAATTTAATTTTCTTCTACCTTGTACTAACCCAAATAGAAATTGTTTGGCTAAGCTAACTGCTCAGCTTATGGCCATATTTTCTGATTCTACTAATCCTAGATGAAAACTCATAAACATTGATAAAGTACTACATTGGAACACCTGGTGTGTTCTGACGCTTGTTATTGCACAAGTTGTGTTGTATATGGAAACAACAAAACACTATACTACAAATCTGACATATACTATGAACATAGCTCTTTACAGCTCAATGGGAATGTAGATGAAGTAGCCAGTCCACATGTACACATCTGGACATGGTCTTCTGGGTAAAAGGCCATTATGCATCTGGTTAACAAACTGCACCCAGGGAGGCATGCTTGTCTCCCCTTACTTAGTCCCCTATCTGCTAGTTCTGCCCTACAGCTGAACTTTTACCAACATTGGTAAATATTTACCTTGGAGTCTGTAGTCAAGACATAACTGGATTCTACAAATCAGTACTACTCTCCATCTAAATTGTGTTTATGTCTTAATACAACGCTCTTAGCCTCGAGAAGCCAGGAACATATGCCTAGAGTAAGAATATCTTTTAATCGGTATAAAACCCATAATGTGCAACAATTCAAATGGTATATAGATAGTAAATACATTGGACTGTATATGCTCACATACCTCATAATCTCAACTGGCTAAGTCTTCTGTCTCTGACTCTGTCTCTGTGTGGGTGTGTGTGTTTCTCAGATTTTCTTGTGTTTATAACATTGCAGTGGAACTTTATTTTTTAGAAAGACAAACTGTCTTTTCTCTGTGTCTTTCCCTTCTTTATTAAAAATCTACATTTTAAGGGAATCCTGACCACCCTGTTACAGCACTCTGCTCTTTTCCCTGTATTATTCATCTGTCTCTACAGAAAACTATGTTACTACTGTTCCTCTTTGTTAAGGTGAATGGAAATTAAATCTCCCTATTAGACTATAGTTTGTCTCCAGTGTTTCTAAGATGAATCGATATAAGAACGGTAGCAAAAGCTATTATAGTGAGTAAACAGACAGGAATTCAACAGGTCCTTAAGGTACTATTTGGAGGGACAATATGAAGCACTTTTGTTTTACGTTACTATGCTGGTTGTTGTTTCCCTGAATGGTTGTTTGTCATCAAATCTTGAAATCTTGCCACAGCTCTATGTGACATCTTACATGGGACATGCATGGTGTTAAACGAACTACTTGTTATCATCTTCCCTCTTTGACGATCAAGGAGAAGTTTCATGCAGCGTTTTGTCTTTTTAATTGGGCTTAAAAAACAGAGACAGAACCAAATGAGCTTCTTTGGTTCTATGCACTATTTTCCTGGGCATTGTAAAAGCATCCGAGACTACTGTTCCTTCTGGAGGTAGCCTTGTGACCTACCATCTGGTGCCACAGATTTCTTTTTAAAGATGATTTAGAGAGCTTCCATGTTATTAGTCCCTTGAAAATAATACTCACGAGCTTCTCAGATGTCTCAGTCACTCTGGGCCAGCTTCCCAGGTGTTTTGTAAAAACTGATCGAGAAGAATAGTCAGATTATATGCCTCCCAAGCCTATTTCTGCTGTGGACAAAGGACACAGCATGAAATAATGACTGGCATTTTGAACAGACCTGAGGATTTGGATTCTACTCTCTGTATTTTTGCTTATTTCCTGTGCAACTTTAGGCACATCGCCACACCTCTGCTTCAGTTTTCTTCTGAACATCCCCACATGCCACAAGCATATATATGCCTGAACTGACTTCCATGATTTTTGTCATTAACAGATTAGTTTGCTTATTATTCATCATGCTACATAAGTAAATGGTAGTAATGGTAGTCCCTTGCTGCAAGCCTTCTCCCCCTAGTGTTTTGCTTGTAATAATGCAGTAAATATGTTTCTATATATCTATCAAGACATCAGTTTCAAACACTGTACTTTAACAAGCATACTCTAAAATATTTGAAATCTTAATATACTATCTATGTTATTGAATATGCCTATAATTAATTTTCATTATACCTTTTAAAGTATTTTAATAATATCACAGAATTCACAAATGCTCACTTAACTAATTTATTAATATTAATATTTATATAATGTACTTTGAAGCACAACTCAATGCATGTTCAATCTATTTTAAAATTAAAAACTATTATGAATTATTATTACAATATTTTAAGACTATTTGTTTATACCATTAATAGCTTATAAAAGCTACAAGCATGATGATTTGGAGTGTATACTATTCATGGATGTGTATCACATACATTAATATATGAACATTTATAGTTTTAACACATGGTATACAATATAAAATCTTGTTTCATTGATTAATCAATGTTAATGGTAACTGTATTTCAGAGTATAAATAATATTTGTAAAATGGTAAAACAATCATTTTTGCATATCTAGGTTCTGAACATACAGTGAAGTAAGTTTTTTGTTCTTTTCTTAATCCTCATGGCAGTTTTATGATATAGTTAATATTATACCAATTTTATATAATTATATGTTATCCACTGTGGTTACTGTACCACATCTGTGACCTAGAATATATATGATTTTTCTTCTACTATAACCTTGTTTCATAAATAGAAAGACTGATTAATCAATCAACCAATCCAACAATTAATTGATCAATCAAAGTACCCATCTGTCATCTAAATGTGTTTAATTCAAACAACAAGTTGGTAACTGCAGAAACATTGTTAGAGATATAGATTTGTGATAGATTTCTAAGACAGTTAAAGTTAAAGTAAGAATGAGTTAAAGATCTCATTTTTAAAACAACTTCTTTAGCCCATTATTGTTGTTCAACCATTTTGCATTTGTCTGAATAGCTTCGCCCTCTCAATTTGAGGACTTAAAATACATTCTATGTGTAAATGTATATATACGGAGAACATGAATAATCTTCATTTAGTATGTGTCTGTGTGAGCCATGTGTGGAGGGGGCGTATGTGTCATGGACCAAATAAGGAGGCTGGAGTACAACTTTATGATGTCAGTTCTCTTTCTCCACCATCACATTCATTTTAGGGGTCAAAACCGTTATAGGCTAAGCAGTCTTAGCAGCTCTTTAAGTCAGAACTCAGGACTACATAGCTTATTTTCTTTTTACTTATTAACTGAAGGTGAGAGAGACATATCCATGGGGTCAAAATAGCCCATTTAAAAAATATCCCATTAAAAAATGTGCTAAATTTTGAGATCAAGATTTTTTGATATTAAGGATGACTTAAATAGTATCCTTTCTTACACTCTAATTTTATGATCAAATCCTGATTTCAAGTATTGCATTAACCAATGATTCCACCCCCTTTTTTCAGATTATTTACTCATTTTAAAATATGCAATTCTTAGAAGAAGCTATTTGTTTTGGTAAAAATACATTAGGAAAACTAAAATATGCTGTTTTAGTTCTCTATGCAATTTACAAATTAAATTATGAAGCTAGTTGGGAGTCAGTATAAGAGTTCTTTGCTAAAAAGCTAGATCTTCAACAAAATAAATGACATTTAGATACCAAGCCTGGAAGACAAGCCAAATTTTGATAATAACAATTATCATTCTAGGGCATGCATTGCTATTCTGTGGAGTTCATAAACGGGACCTTTGTAAATATTATTTATTAGTATCTTTCATATTTCAGAAACTTTTGTGTAAGTAGACTAACATATCTTTAACTATATCTCAAAGAAGAAGGAATGTATTAGGGACAAATAGTTCTTTTCTTTTCAAAAC